AAAGAATTCAATGAAAATTTATGAACTTAAAAAGTTTTTATTTAGTTAATTTTGAATCCTGAAACCAAATGAGGTGTGTGTTAAAAGAAGTGATTAAGGCCACGTTCACACTGCAGGTTATGATGCACAACTCGGATTTTTGTTAAATCCGATCTTTTTGTGCGATCGTTCACATTTCAACAACGAATGCGGCATCTAATCTGAACGGAATGCGTCTGTGAAGTGACCCGCATGAACACAAATTGCTTCCCGCGCCTGTTTGTGTTGTTGAACAATGGTGACGTTTGTTGCATATTGATGACGTAAAGGTCGGATGAACGCGACCTGAGCGTCGACACTGCAGTCATATCGGATACATATCTGATTTATATCCACATAGAAAAGAGGCCTGGGTCGGATTAGAACCAATCAGAATTGACCTGTTCACACTTAGATGAAAAAATCAGATATGTGTCAAAAATGGTTGAAAAATCAGAATTGACCTGCAGTGTTAACGCAGACTAAATGCATGCTGCCAAAAGATTGTTGGGAAATGAACTATTTGACTATTAAAAGAAAGAAAAATGAGGGATTAAAACTCTTATTTTGCAGGTCAGAAGGTTTATAAACGACACAAAGGAGGTTTAGCCTCACAGTCGAAGATCATTTAAAATCTGAACTCTACAGAGATAACTGTGTGCTGTGGAAATTTATTTTCAGGGTAGATTTAGGTGGAGGAAAAGAGATAAGCTTTTGGGATAAGTATATTTCAACTTCTGTTTCTATTGAGGAAACTGAAGAGTTGGAAAAAAACACCTCCAGCAAAATACGTCTCTGGAGGTGAGTAATCTGGATAATTTTAGAATAAATGCACGACATTTGCACGAGTCATTGTACAGTTTTGATATCTAAGGTTCAGGGTTTAGACAAGAGCAAATATCAGGTCATCGTTTGGGCTGCAGGAAATCACAACTCTGACATTTTATAGATGAAACAGTTTATGGATAACGTGTGAAGAGCAGCATTTCTACAAACACAAATAGTCCACACATTGGTGAATCTCGTCGACCTCATCTGTATAAAGCCAAAGATATCCTCTCTCCTCTCTGATCTTTAGCAGAGGTCGAGATGTTAATGTTCGGGCTCAAAGGTCGGAGCCTGGAGGTGATGTGGAGCCTTTTCACTTCTTTTGCTATTTTCAGCAGATAAAATAAGAGGCCTGTGTATCTTTGGGGGCGTCACCGCGGAGGTTTAAGCCGCTGTCAGTCAACGTCACCGCCCGCTATTTAGATTCCAATTACACCTGTCAGCCGCTCTGAGCCCCCCCCCTCCCACCACTAACCCTCGCTCTCTTTAGACCCTCACAGACTCAACCTCTCCATGTTCAACAACACTGTGCTCTCATTCTTCTCCGTTCTTCATTCATCCGCAGCCTCGCTCCGTGTCAGTCAGCATTACCATCTCCTCGATTCGCCCTCTCTGCGTTCACTTCTCCTTTAATCCCCCTCATTTTATATTACCTTTCAGAGAGGACGCAGAAGGTTCACTCACAACTGATTTGAAACATGTTGAGGAGAACGGCAAAGTGATATTGACACCGGCGGTTAGCGGGGAGAAGGAAGAGCATCGGTGATGTTTTCTCAAACTCAAGAAAGCAGAGACAGAAGGATGGAGGAGTGGCTGATGGATGAGAGGATGGGGGTACAGTTTAAAAAGTTTTTAGTCACTTTTAAAAAACCCAAAATTGATATTTGAGAAGAAATCTTAACACTGTTTTAAAACGCTTAAATCCAGCTTTTCTGCACAGAGCAGAAATCGACAGACAGCAAAATCAATGATGGATCAGGCGCTCAGATTGATGGATGGATATCTGTCCTGGTTGGCGAGCGGACAGATGGATGGACCAACGAATGAAGAGATAGGAGGTTTGAGTTAAAGCCGGACATATGAGGAGACGGATGAAAGGATTGATGCGGGGAAACTTGGGAGTTTGCCCTGAGGGGTAAAACATATTAATCAAGATGGTGACAGCCAATGAATGAGGCGCTAAACTGGACTCTGAAGGATCTCCTGCAGGGGTTAGAGAGGTCCAGAGTGACACGGCTGTGAATATCTCTTTATTGTTAAAGTCAGGTCTCTTTCAGCTCGTCTGCGGACAGAGATTTGAGTGTGTGTGTGTTTGTGTGTGAAGTGTGGCACCAAACCGGACCGTTGAAAAAGCAGCGGCGAGGTCAGCGCAGGGTGAGCCGCCTCACCGAAGGCGTCTTTGCACACATTTACAAAAATAGCGTCACAAGCAGGGATGAAAGGGGAGGCGAGGTCCCGATGTGTGCGAACGCTGTCGGGCGCGATCTCGACTCCATCTGTGGTTAATAATGTTCAACATGTTGGAGGCCTCTCCGCCGCAGCTTCTGCCACTTCATAAATCACACACATCTGGTACAGCGATCCCCCGCTGCTGGATGCTGGTGGCACAGAAACACACACACATGCACACACACATGTACACACACACATGTATGAGTCCACTCTGAAGTTCACCCCGTCACACACGCTCTCATTTATCACTGCAGAGGTTGACATGTATCTGTGGAGTCTGTTTGTGCAGGTGGAGAGAAGGTACTGATGGATTTTTCCAGAAGTAATGATTCAGTAATTCTCCGTTATATCCCACAGACTCCAGACCTTCAACTCTTTAGGACAGATGTCGTCTCCAGCCTTCAGAAATATGATTTTCTAACTATTTTAAAATTCAGATTTATTCTTCAGGTCTATTAGCTTCTTCTTACAGAGACTCTTTTCAAAGGTCGGTTTATTTTCTTAATAATTGATCGATCTAAAAGGATTTTCTCTTGATTTTATCTCGACCTGCCTTGACTTGTGATGAGCCGGGCCTCGCCGTCACAGCTGCTCCTGATCGGTGCAACCTGGAGCGAGTTAGTCTTTACTTTCCTAAACTTTGATTCTTTGACTTCCTCTTTTGCTACTTCCCCTTTTTTTCTTTCAATTCAGCTGATTTTGTTTAGTCGGATTTGTAGTTGTGCACCATGCTGTCACATATTGTCGCTGAAGTGCTTTTATTTCCTAGAGCGCTGCATAAAGGAACTCAGAGTCATTCAGATGATTGTCGTCTGTACTTTCATGGTTATTGTGCAAACCCGATTTAATAGCAATCAACTGTCTGCTTATTTTATGAGTACAACATGAGTAACTATAAAAGAGGCTGTGCAGGATGATGCTTTTATTTGATTTAAAAGCCATTACCTTGAAAACTTTGAATTTTGGTCGTATAGCACTTTGTATACACGTTAAAAATGGAGCCTAAAGTGCACAGAGGGAAAGATGGATGAAAAATAACAACAGTTTATGGAAGAATAAAAGACCGAAATGATAATAGAGGGAGTAAAAAAGAAATGTTTCTTTTAAAAAAGACAATAAAACACAATGAAGAGTGGCAGAAATATTTAATTGATGTTAAAAGCCAATGGAAAGAGACTGAGGTATAAAAATTATTGCGTTCAAAATGCAAAGTGACTTTTTGTGATAAAGTATGGAAGCGTATTGCATTCACTTACAAACAAACAAAACCAACAAACAAACAAAAAAAACAGTATGAAAAACCAGGGAAAACATATTCTAAAAGACAAAAAAGAAAAAAAAAAAAAAAAACAGAGACACAAGGGTAAAAAATGTTTTTTTTAAATAAATGTCCGAAAAACAGCAAAAAAGAAATAATAAAAAAGGAAAATTCTGAAAGACATGGGGGAAAAAAAGAAGAAAATTTCCAAAAATCAGCAAAAAAAAAAAGAAAAAGTCTGAAAAACGGGAAAAAAAGCAAAGATGTCCAAAAAAACAGCAAAGAAAAAAAAATCCAAAAAACATGAGAAAAAATATTTTTAAAAAACGAAAAAAAAAAAAGTCTGAAAAACAACAAAGAAAAAATCTCTGAAAAACAGGGAAAAAAATATTCCATAATAATAATAAAAATAATAATAATAATAATAAAAATCTGCAGATCAGAACATACAAACAACAAATTAATAAAAATAAAATAATTTAAAAAAAAGCTTTTTTTTTTTTGGTGAATGCAATACACTTCTATAATTAAGAGACTTCAAAGCAGCTCCTGTTTTTTCAAACCTGCTGCACTTATTTATATATCTAAAACCTTTGGTCCTTATGTGATACATGTTTTGCAGCACCTTTAATCACCAGTTTACCCAGTTGACCCACTTTAATTCACCTTCCCAGTTTGTTCTGACATGCATAGATTCACGCACCTCACTTTAACGTCTGCAGAAATGAACCCAACACTGAAAACAACCACCTCGGGTGCACTCACTATCCTCCGCCGTGATCTTAGGAGACAGATACTCACAGTTTAGTTTCATTACCTCATTACTTTTCACGGATTGTAATCTTTGTATATGTATAATCTTGATATTTAAATTCCCTCGCCCTCGCTCGGTGTGCAGGCGTCACATTAGATTCCCATTAACTCTGCTCCTTTAACATCATTTAAAGTCTGACTCAGGTCGCTAACTCACACATATACATAATATCCTGCTGCCACACCGGCACATTAACTTGGCAGTTAAACGCCGTGATTTCTCCTCTGCCTCATTCTGACTCATGCTATATGAATAAAGAGCAGAATAATTGAAAGCTGAAGCTGCAAACAGAGGAGTCATTTTCTTCATCTTCCTGCCCACATAACTTCAATCCGGTGTGTTTTTTTATGTGTTTTGCGGTGAACCCTGAGCATTTTTAAGGATGTAAACGGGTGTTAAACGCCAACATGTCCGCACAGAGTCCAAACTCAGCTGCTTCATTAGTAAACCAAAAAAAAAAAAGTGTTTTTCTCCTGCTGTGCGTCCGCAGGTGATTTGTGGCAAGCTGTGTGACGAGCAAATTGGAAAGCACTTCCTTTTTCATATATTTCAGTTAGCCGAGTCATTAGCGGAGCAACATGAAACATTTAGCTTTCACGACAGGATCAATTTGGCCGTTTCTGCAGCCGCCTCATTAGAAACATTGTCCCCTGCTCCGCCTCACACCCCCAGGTGCTTCTCCGTGATAGATTTTGATTCTTCATTTCCACCCAAATTAGCTCCTCCGATCAATCGTCCTTCCTCACCTTCGATCGCGTTATCATTTCCTCATCTTTACATCCAAAATACTGTTTACTGTTAATATCGTCTCGTTTAAACGGCGGGGAAAGGTTGAAAAGAGGCGGTCTGATCGATGGCGTCGTCGTCCAACAGAGACGTTATTTGAAGCGCTCAGTCATAGCCCTCCCCTCACAGTGATGAACACAATAATCACAGCCATGTGACGGCTAAGTGGGGCATTCCTGGCCCCCTGACAGCCACCCACCTGCCTTGATTGATGATATTGTTTTTAAAAAGTGAAAATAGTTGGAGGGGCGAGCAGGGAGGGACTCTCTCTCTCTCTCTCGTTCTCTCTCCTCCAAAAGTCACATTCCTGCAGGAATAAAGAGCAGCATTGTGGAGACTAATCCACTTCAGTGAAGCGCTGTTATTCTGTGTGTGGGAGAGAGAGTGTGTGTGCTGTTGTCCCCTCTGTGTGTCTATGTGGGAGTGTGTATTTAATTAGGAGGTACACAAAAATACATGAAATATTAAAGGGTGTGTGTGTGAGAGAGAGAGGAGTCAGTGTGAAGGTCTGAGAGCGTGGTTCTGCTGTATGTCGGGTTGATTGAGGTCTGGACTGTGATGTGATAGTGATGGACACAGCAGTTCTTTTAGATGTACTGAATCACTAGAATCAGTTCACTAAAAAGATTCGTTCACTAAATCACCGAATCATGTAGCACTTGTCAGGAGAAGCCTGCGACTCCGACCTCCTGAACTGATACACAGCTGAACATTTCAGGATTCAGTTCAGATCAATTTATGTTATTGTTCAGGTCTGCTCGGTAAATTGGGCTCAGTCAGTGATTCGTTCATTGAACATTTAGAAGAATTCACACTGAACATGAACCGTTCCCTCGCAAACCGCTGCAATGATCGGACTCTGCTGGTTTAATGAACTACTTGTAACATACCGTGTCCTATTGTATGAAAGTTGTTGTGTTGGCAATTTAGCCTTGAAAAAAAAAAAAAGTTAGTTTTGTCTGACAAAAATGACTCCAGAGAGTGTAGTTCAATGGGTGATTCGTTCACCAAGTGATTCAGGTGTCGGTGCATGTGATCCATCGTTCGCCGGCTGCTGGTCTGGCAACGCTGTTACTGAAGTGAGAAACGAACGAATCACTCGAGGAAGTGATTTGGTTCAGTATGTTCACTTAAAAGATTCGGTTCTTTTGAACAAATCGTTCGCGCACGACACAACACTACACTGGATAGGTTTAGATCGCCTTCATATATATATATATATATATATATATATATATATATATATATGTATATATATATGTATATATATATATACACACACACACACAGTCACGCTTACCTAGCCAACAGGGGACTATCATCCCAGACGGACCAAGAGAGGACCTCTATTTCTGGTCATTTTAATAAAACAAAAATATAACAGAAAACTTCCTTTTAAGGTCTTTTACCATAATTTGTGTCTGTGTGGGAGTGTGTATGTAATCTGCGTCACACACAAATACATGGAGCATTTTTTTGTTTGTTTGTACTTTTAAAGGGTGTTTGTGTGTGTGTGTATGTGTGTGTGTGTGTGTGTGTGTGTGTGTGCGTGCGTGCGTGCGTGCATGCGTGTGTGCGCGCGTGTGTGTGTGTGTGTGTGTGTGTGTGTGTGTGTGAGGAGTCAGTGTGAAGGTCTGAGAGCGTGGTTCTGCTGTATGTCGGGTTGATTGAGGTCTGGACTGTCACTGGATAGGTTTAGATCTCCTTCATACCCTCACACACACACACACACACACACACACACACGCACACACACGCACACACACACACACACACACACACTCCAGCGGCCATGCTGCCTCTCTCTTTCATCCTCACACTCCCTCTTTTCTTCGCCTCCACACTGACTCCTCTCATTTTGCCCTCCCTCTCGCTCTAATCTCTCTTTCTCTCCTCCTCTTCCTCGCTCCCCGTCTTCTCCTTTCTTCCTCGTCTTCCCCAAGTGCCCGTCCATTCTCTCCCCTCACTTCCCTTTCACTCTAATGCCTCTCACTTTTTTTTTTCCGCCTCCCTGTCTCGGTCTCCTTCTCTCTCCTTATCAGAGGGGAGGATGAATGGTGAAAGGCGAGGAGGTGAGGCTGAGACTCAAACCTGATGCCTCGTGTGTGGGAACCTCATTGTGTCTGGCAGCTCAGAGAGAGAGAGAGAGAGAGAGAGAGGGTGGAGGTATCGTGCTTCTCCTCCGTATGGTCGATAGAGCCGACCTCTCATCTTTCCCTCACCTGAATGGCATCACTGTGCCCGCCAGCCTGAGGGGGAGGAGGGGAGGGAGGGGGAGTGATGCATGACCTGACAAAAAGTGAGATGGGAAGAATATTTTCTTGTTTCAGAGACACAAAAACACCATTTTAGACGCTTTAAAACATCCTCATGTGTCGTCTCTAAAGTCACAGCTTTTTATTTAAATGCAGGAATCTGTTAAAGAAGCATCTTTATTTGTGGTGTATACACAAAAAAGCTTTTAATATCAGTCAATAGTTATTAGTTATTGATGACATTTGGGAATATAACGATATCACTGTGTTTTGTTTTGTCTGTGTAGTCAACGGCTCGCTCTTTCTGACTGTAAACAAAGCCGTTATCCACCTCCTCTAACCTGATTGGTTGTGAGGCAGACGCTGCTCCCCCGTGTCGTTCAGGAGCCCAAACAAAGTTAGCGTGCTACAATATCGGACAGTAGAAACCAACCAGAAAGTTCGGAAAATTGTCTGAATCCTCCTTTGGCCACGACTGCCGACACAAGCAAGAAAACAAAGTAAATACCGGAGACTCTGGAGGAATAACGGGCGCTTAAAACGGAGGTAGACCGGACAAGAGCTAAAAAGCCGGGTCATCATAAACGATGGGGGACGCTTGGGGATCTTGGTGACCCTGTAACCTTTCTGCTGGACAGGTAAACCGCTTTAACAAAGTAAGACAAGTATCAATGAGAGCTTTGATCGCGGCAAACATGAGATTAAAAGGAGTAAAGTAGGGGGAAGCATACTGTAGGATTAAAACGTAACTGTATCTGTAATGTAAATGTGTTAACAAATGTAAATATAACAATATCGAGTATGTATTCATTGATCTAAGTCCTTGAAAAACTTGTACGATGATACAGAAGCAAATAGAGAATATTCAACTAAAACCAAGCCGTTACAAATAAAACTATTAAAGATGACGACAAGTATAACATCATGATTTTGGAGTACAATTTCATTTCATTTTCATTTGTTCCATTTGAGGAAAAGTAGAAAGTTTTCTAGGAAATTAAAGACAACCTTTTAGTGGTTCAATACGGTTCATCTTTCGAAAGCAGCAGGAAGAAGAAAACTCAATTTTAGCCGCTCCATATACTCCATATACTTTACAACAAGAGAGACTAAAATCTCCAGTACTAATACGACTATCTGCCAGCTGATGAGTATACTCTGCTGTTTAAGGTTCTTAGTCTGTGAGTTACAGCATCAGAGTGTGATATGTCAGATCTCTTTATTTCTCCAAGAACAGAGACACCGACCCTTTAGAAAACAACAAACTCAGACTCTTCTCCGTCTTATTATTGACTCTGTGTCGAAGCTTTTTTTGCAGCAGCTGAACTCAAAAACAAAAAAAGACGTCTGATATTTTAGATCACTGATAATCTGACCCGTGTTTCTTGCCGTGAAGACAGACGAGCAGACGGCTGAGCGGCGGGGGGTCTCTTCCATCTACACTCACCTGTCTGTTCACATTAAGTCGTGCAGTCTGTGAGTTCAGTCTGCAGAGTCTGGTTCACATGGTCAAGCTGTGAAAACTCTTCACCCCCTCCTCCAGAACAAAAACTCTCCGCTCCCTCTCAGCATCAATTATTCAGGCAGAAGTCAAATAGGATTGAATAATTTATCCTCCAAGTGTCAATATTTGGTAAACAATCCCACACAGCCTCTTACAAGCCCCGAAACCCAGACCCTGAGTCTTCACGTTGGGTGTATTACTGCAGTACTTCAGGACTGGAGTTTGCTTTATGGAAAGGAGCTTTAACTAAACAAATCCTCTTTGAATTTAAAACACAGACGGTACACGATGGGAATTAATCTGCAGAGATAATTCATGATGGAAACAATAATCTGTATGTGAATGAACTCTTACTAAAGCCAGACACTCACGGAGGATTTATGACTGGTTTTATGCTGAGGATGCAGGGCGTGGCCTGATTCAGATTCTTGTCAAGTTCTAGCATCAATACGATTATTTTTCTGCTCCTGATGGAATCATAAACATCAGACCTGTTTGGTATTTGATTCCAGGTCCAACAAAATACCAACAATAACAAATAAGAGAATCATAGTGGGAGGAGTCACCAAGCAAACCAACGCCCAGATCTAAAACCGAGCTCAGATGTGTCCGTAAGTCCTTTCAAATGAATCCAGAATTTAGCAATTATGCTAATTATGAATCCTCCAAAGTCTTGAGTCTTGGTTTATGCAGTCCACATTTAGTAGGGGTGGGAGAAAATATCACGATACAGCATACTATTGCGATATTTTGTCTGGTGATATATCGTATCGTCTCATTTACCAAGTATTAATTTTACAAATCAATTGCTAATATGAAGTCAAATCTATGATAATAGAAAAATAAAATCAGCTGTTTTTCCAGTGAGGTTTGGCAGAGGTGACATCATAGAGCAGGAGAAACTTAGTACAACAAATGTAAATATATAAGGTTCGCAAGGTGTGCTACATGAAAATAAAATACACATAAATAAGACAAAGATAAAGGAAAGATAAATGCTAAATTAGTACACAGTTGAAAGAAATTGTATAAATCGCAACTTATATTGTATTGCAATACTCACTGTATTGCAAAATGTTGAAAATCGCAATGATATCATATCGTGGCCCAAGTATCATGATAATATCATATTGTAGGGCAACTAGTAATTCCCACCCTTAACGTTAGGACAGTGGTTCTGAACCAGGATCTTGTCTTAGTGTGTCAGTGTCTATCAAGATCCCAGGGGTCCTATTTCAATGATCTAAAGTGAACGGCGCAACGTGAGCCATTGCACGGCCCAGATGCTTTTTGGTCGTTGGTAAGGCACAAATACTTTCCGCTTTAAGATCCTAACACGCCACCTGTAGTGACTGCTGTCCTTCAACAAAAAGGTCGCTGGGGTTTAGGTTCGCTTGCGTCTGTGACTCGTTCAGTTATCAGTCCAGTTTGAGTGTTAAAAAGAGGTTTATCGTTCAAAAACGCTGATCTAGGTCCAAAAACTTTTTGCCTTCGAATGAAAAAGTGATAAGATGAAATGAGGTTAAAACAGGATGAATGAAACGGTGAAAAATGGTCAACAGAAAATTATCAGAGCTTACCAAACCCAACTGTCTGACTACACCGGTGAGATTTAAATAACCCGCCAAACATCCCAAAACCACACCGCTCAGTGACGATCCCAGGAAGTGATGTACTGAGTAGAAATAAAACTTTTAACAAATATATTTCGGCTCCTACTCCACCTTTGCAGCTGACCTCCCCTCATCTTCAACCAACACACTCCTGGGTGTTATCATGGGTCCGTAGGTGCAGGACAGTGACACTTTCACATGATTCACACTTTCCCTTAGGTGTATGTCCAGATTTTGTTCTTTTCCCATCTTCTTCACGTCTTCCGTTTTAGTCACCGTCTAAAGAAAAAAGTAAAGATGTTTACCACAAAAACCTTTAAGCACTTCCTCAGGAAGAGTACACTCGCTCCCAGCCCAGTTTGATACAGACGCAAACTGTGCAGACTGGAGGTGACCAGGTTCACTGCTGTTCCCGAGTGCATAAGCAAGAAAATTACTTTGTGCTTTTACAGTGAGTCAGTGGACGATAAGAGCAGCTATTTCCAGAATAAATGGATTTATATCTAGCTGTGTGGAGAACTCACTTTAGTTGACATCTCTGCATGTAACAAGTGGATTTATCTTTTTCTCCTTCGCTCCCATCATCTGTTTTCCTTTGTTCCTCTCTCATTTCCCAGTTGCATACATCTTTTTTAATCTATAGCACTATTTATGTTTATTTTCCATTTCTTTTTTTCCCTTTTCTTCATTGTATGCAAAAAAGCTGTTTGGTGCTTCCTCTGTTATTGAGCATTTTCAGAGGCAGCAGCCCTCCTCCTCCTGGCTCTTTCTCTTTTATTTATGTGTCTAATGAAAGCCTATAATCATATTCTACACACCCACATGCTGTCTGAGGCTTTAAGATTATATGTCTCAGGGAGAAAGAACAACAGAATCATCATATTAATGGTGGTGGTGGAAGATCCTCATCATTGTTGCAGTAATGCTTATAATCCACTCTGTCTATCAAACTTGCCAATTATTTCCGAGATTGACTGTTGTGGGAGTGGAATAAATGAGGAGCAACAGATGCCCGAGTGTGGAGGGGCAGTAAATAGGGTGTACGCTGAAGTGAAATTACAGGTGCATATAAAGGAGGCCGGGCTTCGAGAGAGAAACCAAAGAATTTCATCAGTGTGGACTGAACTCAGAGAAATCCTGCAGTTTTTAATAAAAAAGGAGCGAAAGAAAAAAAACCATCAGAAACAGAAACAACAACAACAACATGCTGGTACGACTTTGCTGTTCGCATGATTTAAATAAACCTCTCTGCAGGAATTTCACGACTTCTATTCAAATGAACTTCAGTTCTCAATCATCACTCAGTCCGTTGACATGCACAACTCAATCGGACTGAGCTCATAGTTAGGTATTTTTTGCCGAATCGTTTTACTTCTCTCCTTGTCCTTGTATACATGCAGCTGAGAAAATTGAGTTATTGACATGAACGTGTCCTCCTCCGCAAAACTAGGGGGCGATACCAGTCTTTACAGCGGTGCTGTTTCCGACCCCATACAACCGTCAACGACAACAACAGGTCGGTGTCAGACGTCAGAAGTGTCTACAACTGCTGCTGGAACTTTTGGAGAAACAAGAAGATGGAGCATCGTACAGCGTTGTTTTTGTCCTACATGATGGACGCGCTACTTTTTCTAAAGATGAGACGAACGCTACTCCTCCTCTCTGGTGTTTTTGTTCTGGGGTTATCGGGGTGTGGATCACGCGTACATGCATTGTCCATCTTACTCCGACTACGCTGGTTACATGGTAGAGAAAATGGAATTCCAATCGCTTTATCTGGGTGTCTTGATCAGAGTTCTCAAACTCCGATTGGAGTCGGACTAAGGTGTTCACATGACCTTCAGTTGTCCGGTCTTAATCGGAATAAGGCGATAATTCGGTTTTCTAGAGTGTCATGGAAACGTACCGAGTGTTGTTCATGCAGCTTTTATTAAACAGGAATATCACTCAAACTTTTCACAGATCATGGCGACAAAAACACCTCAGGATAACTGAAAATAATTTATCCATGCATAAAATATCTAGGCAAAATTTCCCCTCTGAGCTCATGGCACTGATAGCAATTTATTAGTATTATCTGCCCTTACATATAATAGAAAAAAAAAGTAGATTTTATATCCACAGGAGTTACTGGTGTACTCCTGCACACCAGGAGTACACATTAAGATTAAACTCACAATCTGCACGAACGTTACAGATCAGATTTTTTGTTCTGTTTATTTTAAAGAAGTCTCCAAAGACAGTGATGAAGTTCTCTGTGCGGAAAGAAAGACATTCTTAGACGTACAGTGCTCAGCATAAATGAGTTGTCAGAAAAACCTTCAGTTTCCTTTCAAAATCAACATTTTCTTTGTCAGACTTTACAACAAAATGCTCCCCCAAGTGTGGGCCTCGATTGCAAACAAGATCCTTTAAGTTGGATATAAAAAGTATTTTTTTCAATTTAAAATCACGATGCAAAAATGAGTACAACCCAAGCAGAGCTACATTTTAGTTACTATATCACTCTTATTTTCATGATGCATGTCTTCTCCAAGCTCACAGATATCGACCAAATGCTGTTGTACTACCAAAAGTTGTAAAAGCCAAATTGGCACCATGAACGGTAAGAACACACCACCTGTGTGCTCAACCACGAGTTATTTAGAGAAATAGAAAACACTAATGACTGCACACCAAGACTCTCCACTGCACCATCATCTAGTCATGCACGGTTTATTGACTCTCACCTCTCTGCATTTAGGAAAAAAAATGAACAGACACTTTTTTATCCCACCTCCTCCTGCTGCTCAGTGCAGCTGGGCCTTAATAGCATTATATTTGTGTATGCAGCGTGTGTATATTTACCTTGGTGCTCTCGTGGATGTGTGTCATTTCCGAGCCGCTCTCTTCAACACCCGACCCCAAAATCCAAATAAACAGGCCGACACTTGGCCTTCGCCGGTCTCTGTCTCTGTGAATGGTCCCTCTGTGGAGTTCGAGTCCGTAGGTCAGGGGTGAGGTGAGATTTATAACCATTACACCTCAAATCAGAGCAGAAATGAGTGCTATGAAGCATGCACTGGATCTATAAGTGTGTGCTGAGGAGCATCACGTAGTCACCGAACTGTGATCTATATTTACTCTAAGTTTTTTTCTGACTCATCCTTTTTATCTGCAAGACGATTTTCACTCTTACATTGAATATCAGGGTTCGAAATGCTGCTGAAAGTGACAGCTCAGAGGTAAAGGTTTGAAAAGGCTTTGGAGAACCAGTTGAAAATCCTGCATGAAAGTGTGAATCAGCCCAAATCCCACCCATTGTAATTTTGGTCTCATGCGAGTCGCCCATTTTCCCTCCGATCAGAAGAAGACAATAAAACCCAGCGAGTGAGAAGTTCTGTCTGTGTCCTACAGCCTCTCTCTCATTCACACAAACCCACACAAACATACGCTCACTCCTGGGGCCAATTAGTCAAGTTGAAACGTCTTCATTTTTCATTTGAGTGTTCAATGATCAGTATAATTGGAATTAATAAGCCAATTTCACTTGGCAGAGATGGGAGATTTTGGCACTTGTTTTGAGCGCGCTCGCAGTTGGTTATGGGGGAGGAAACCGCAAAACAGGGGTCTCATTAACTGGGTCAATTACAGTCGAAACACATCACCTTATTAATCATCAGCTGCCTGGCATAATAAAGATGCTTTGGTATGCTTATCAGGCGGCTGTTTATGCTGCAGATTATTCAGCACCACATCCTGCACCATATGTTCACTGTAAGCGTGCGCCTTAAACAGCTTAATACAGTTGACATGAAATAGAAGTTGTTCTTTTTGGCGTTAAAATGATTTAATAAAATATGAAGAGGGTCACTCTCCGTGTGACAAACCCTCAGAAAGTTATCACCGGCACTCTCAGCTGCTGTTCGCTCCGTTATTGTTTCAGTCTCCAGACCCAAAACCTCAGCTCTCATCAGCCCGGTTTCCAGCAGCTGTTCAACAAAACGCTCTGATTATCCCACTCCAGGCTACCTGCCCAGCTCCCAATAACAGGCAGACCCAGTTAGCTGATGAACATGGTGAAGCATTTAGCAGCTAGTAAGCCAGATAATGGGCCAGAGCAGAACTGGAGCGAGGGAAACGACAAAATAAGATCAAACTTCACCGCCCGCAATGACCAACTTAGCCTCAATCGCTCAGTGTCTTTATTTCTTTGTTGTTATTTAAAATAATTGTTTTTTCTTGCTCTGAAACTAAAGGTGCATAGATCGATTTCTTGATTGATTTCTTGTCTGTTCTGCCGTTACCGATGACCGACTGGTTCTGTGTCAATCTCAGGTTAACACCAATGAGCTTCGAGTCTCAGGTCGAGCTCGAACACCGACATGACAGCTTCACACACATAAATCGACGTGTTTTCAATGTTATAAATGTAGAGGAGTATTACATTAAATTACAAAATAAATGCCTTTAGTGTACGGAAGAGGATTAGTAACTTTTATTGGATCTTTTATTTATTTGCTGTTTATCTATACTGTTGTTTTATGTTTTTATATGTTTTATGCTTTTATTGTTTTTATTGTTTCTGGGTATTTCACTGTAATGCACTTTGGTAGGCCACTGGCTGTTTTAAATGTGCATATAAATAAAGCTGAAATTGACATCAGGGCCACTGGAAAAAAAATGTAAATAATAAAATAAAATAAACACAATAAATAAGTAAATAAATAAATAAAAGGTCCAATATATTTTTTTAAAATTATTATTCTGAGAAAAAAAGTCAGAATTCTAACTTTAATGTCAGAATAATAATTTTAAAAATTATATTGGACCTTTTATTTATTTACTTATTATTGTATTTATTTTATTTTATTATTTATTTTTTTTTGCCTACTTATCTGCCTGTCTTTTTTTAAGCCAAATTATGTTTTTGATTTTTTAAATTTTATTTTTATTTATTTTTTACTATTATGACTATTTTTTAACCTCCATTTTGTCTGTTGTAACAAGGAAAAATTATAAACTTTGGATTTAAATAAAAAAAACAAAAAAAGAGAGATTGTAATAATTTAGTTTTTAAAGCCTAAAATGACAAAATAGGCAACAAGACAGCTCTTTCCACAGGGGGCGTCAAATCAGATACAAACCAAACGTTCCTTATAGGAGCTTTAATCAGGCTGATCCTGATCATTATGGAGGACCTCAATGTTTTAGATCATCTCGGTTCGTTTAAAACATGGAGACGTCTCAGTGAAAGGGTGTTTTTCTTCTCTCCTGACTTTCATCTTCCACCTTCCCACACTCCTGCAGATCAACATGAATCCCTCCTCACACACACAGATACACACATGCACACACACACACACACACACACACACACACACACACACACTCTCTCTCATCCTCTCCCCCCTTTGTGCGCACATACAAAGGCCTTCACACATGCTCTCACAAACACAAACTGTTCTGGTTTCACTGTAATATGAACAGACGTGTTCACACTGCTTCTCATTTGGGTGTCACCGCGCTGCCCGGCCTTCTTCTCTATATTAAAAACTCCACTCCTATCATTGTCAAAGCTACAAGCAGATGGCTGCGAATCTGCTCGGCTCTGGTTGAGGTCATGTGAAAGCGTCTTTTTTTTTCCTCCCCAGGTTTATTTTGGAGACAATACTTCACTCGTCTCTCTGAGCAGACAGCATATCTCTTATCTCCAGGATGACACGTCTTTGTGAGATTTTTTGCTGCTTCACACCATATTTCTTCGCTCTCTCAGGGGTGGTGTTTTTGTGTGAATTTGCACTTGCAGACACATTATAAATAACCCCGTTTGCAGCGAGCGGCGAATGACTCGCCCATCTGTTGCAGTGATCTCATAGACGGCTACGTCTCTCTCACAGGTTGGAACTGAACTAAACTCATGAAATATTAAAGGCATTCACTATAGCACCACGCTTTCACCATATGGTAAATATAGTATGAAGCTGACTGGGGGGGCCACATATGAGCAAATGTCACGTCTAAATTCTAACTGTGGTGCTGGGATATAGTCGCAACTGGCACAGCGAGTGTGAGTGTTGATTATCTGCTTTAATAAAAGAGCCAAACTGTCTGAGATAAAATGGAAACTCATGGAAAATAACAGTTTTATGAAGACAGATGATAAAGAGGAGTTTAACGTACCCGGTTATTATTAAAAACTGACATTAACCATCGTTTGCACCCTTTGTTTAGATGCAAATAGAGAATTCGCCCCTGAAAATGATGCTTTTTAGAGATTTGGGCAACTGACCGCAGATTGTTCGCCGGAAACACAGTCCATGTTTACAATCTACGGTGATCGTGGATGCATGCAGAATAACAGTCGCATTTATCCTGGTGTAATCCCTTTGTATTTGTTTGCATTTGCATCTTTTCCAAACGAAGAAAGTGATGGGATTCTGATTGGCTAACGAGGGCTTGAACTTCTCACTACACTGCCACCTACAGGTTTGGCATGCTCTTGATGGGATATAAACACGGGTTTATGTAAATGAAAACTTTTCTGAAAATGCAGTGGTGTGCACGCAGTTTTTTTGTAAACAGAGAGGATGAAATAGCCGGGCACATTTAAATGTAGCTTGGGTTTCTTACAATCAATCAGGGTTTCCGTTGTTGTTTTATTTTTCTTTGTTTCCATGCGTCATGATGCTTTGGGATCATATGAAGGTCTTCCCTGAAAAAGTCATTGTCTGGTTGGCCGCAGATGTTGCTCCTCAACCTGGAGATATTGTTCAGTATTATGTTTAAAACTGAGGACGCAGCATCTATGATTTCCAGTTCTTCGTTGAAAGGAAACGTCCCAAGTAAGTCCAGTTGTCCTTTGCCCTAAGGTCCTAAGTCCACTCGTCCTTTCCAAAAGAGTATCACCCCCAATTTCCACCGCACCCGGAATGGCTCCGCTACAGAACGGTGGGTGTTTTCGCCGTCCGCCAATTCCTACTAGATATGTTTGTGAGATGAATTTCGTTGTGGATTTCGGACAGCTGGAATTGCAAGAACTCACAAGAACTAGCGGATTCATGGACCACGAACAAGTGATATTAAGCCAATGGGGTGACTCCAACTACAGAGTCCTGTTGTAGACTCTGTTATTGTTCAGCATTAATGGAGCCTTCACAGATGTGGACTCTGATAATCAACAAACCATCTAGGATACTTGATTTGGACTGGGAGCTTGGTCCATCTTCATCCATCTTCAATAGTTTGCAGCTGCTGCAGCTCTCTGTCATGTTTATGTTGCACCTGCATTTGTGGATGCAGCTCAGGACGACGGTTTTACTCCCTAATCAGAGTTATCGATACTGCAAGAAAAGAAAAATCACACGATTGTATTTTGCATCTTGGAGTCTTAGTGAAATTAATCTATTATTGACTAAACAAAGAAATAATTAGATATAGAAAAAAATGCACAGCCATCTTCTACTTTCACTTACTCACTTCTACTGCAAAAAAACAACAGAGGCAGGCTCTGAACCAACCATGAGCCACCTCTGCCAGCAACATGCTGAGTGTGAGATAAGGCTGCAGCCCCGCAGACAGGCAAAAATCTGAGAGCAGGGAGACGTGCAGAGGACACGGTGGAGGAAAAGATCACGTTAAGGCAGCAGAGATGTTGCAGCGACCGGGAGTGTGGGAGGCTGCATTGCCACCGGCCGGAAGCATGTCACACCTCTCCCACTCACGCTCTGATCGGCGGCTGAACAGCCCTCAGCTCACCAGGCTCTCTTCTTCTTCTCCTCTGATGCAAAATCCTCTTGACTACTTTCCTCTCCTCCTTTTGACACACAGGGACACTGTCAGACACACCGAGTATTCTCCTTTAAAATCAGGTGATTCAGGAGTTTCATTTCCTCTGCATGTCTGTTGTAGCGTGGACATTTGACAGATAAAACGCTTCATGTGTGATATTTGGAGAGGTTAAAATTGAGCCAAAGTTTTTGCACAAGACACTGAAAAGACCATCCTTCATGCAAGTTGCACGAGTGGAATCATACGCATCCAGTTTTTATTTGCTTCTATCTTTTCATCCTGGTAAAGGAATCAATAATTTGGCTTCAAAAGTGATCCTTCCCATTTTCAATCCAGGTGCAGAACCAGGATTCAGGACTAGTCCGACTCCTCACAGTGAATGTGTTAGCCTCCACAAGCTCAGAGAAGATAAACCGCCCGCAGGATCTGATGACATTAGACGCTGGGAAGCTGTCTCAGTTGCACGCCGCTCTCTCAGTGAAAACATGATTTTTTTTACCCCTTTATGCTTCATCCCTGACATATCATGATGATCACACAAACTTTGGCTCTGTGTGGTTTCTCCTGGTCTGAAATAGGACAGATCATGACAGAAACAGAGATATAGATGTTATTTTGCATTTTGAAACATGCAATCTGGGTAAAATTCATTGGTGCTAATCCATCATCCTGGAGGATTATACAATTACACGTCTTTATCATGCAGCTGTTTAACATACTGGATTCTGATTGGCCAATTCCAGCATCCTAGAGTCTATTATTGTTATAAACTAGACCAGAGGCCTGACTCAGGTCACAGCCGCCTGCAGCGAGTACAAAGAGGCTCAAAGATGCAGTCAGCAGAGACAACTCCCAAAAGCCTCCATGTGATAGAAAACGGTGCAAAGACAACAGTGAATGTTGCAAAAGTTTCATGAAAAATTTAAACTCATTTTAAATGTGATGCCGGTCACGTGTTTCAGAAAACCCGGGAAAGAGCATGTTTACCGACGTGTTGCATCACCTCATCTTTTAGCAACATTCTGCAGATGTTTGGAAACCAGAGTCTGGAGTTTGGAAAGTGAAATCTTGTCCCGCTCTTGCCTTAAAACTCTCGCCTGGGTAGAAAGTGGAATACTGCATATTTAGACCAGGGCTCTGCATCCATGTGAGCGTATTTTCCTCATCAGAGTCTCATCCTGTCTGTCAGATCTTCTCAGCTCTCCTGTCAAACCCTGGACCGAACGCCAGTGCCCATCCTGAACTTTCTGACCGTGCGCCTGCTCTACAAAAGTACACGGGTCATAAATATAAATGACAGCATTAATAAATGATGGCCTCTTATTCAAATCCCTCATTATGCATGCAAATAGGTTTAAAGGAGGAACACGGGCAAAGTGCGCTCTAATGTGTGAAGTGTAATTGTTACAAGGGTGCTGACCTGAGATCATTAATATTAATGCTCGACATTGTTTCAGTCCATTCGGCGCTGATGCTGATGACCTCGGCGTTGAATGAGTTTGATTTTGATTCATATGAAAAAAAAGGACACTCTGCACTTTCTATTAAGCTTCCACTCACTAAATTAGATGATGTCTGCTTTATTTTTATCCCCTTTTATTTCATTATTAAGACATTAGACCCAAAAATGCTGCAGTTGTTTCTGACTTCTATTAACATTTTAAAAGGACAAACTAATGCACCCTACAGCCGCCTGTTACGCTCCATCAGTTGCTACAGTAACCGAAAGTTTAAGCAAATTAATGCTGCACAGCTGACATTTGAATATGAACTCCATGCAAATATAATTACATGCATTTCTTATTTCAGTAATATCATCTGTTAGGAATGAGGTAATGAGGTTTTTTCTTTTTTTATGAACTGTGCATCAAGGATGTGGAGGTAAATACACTCACCGGCCACTTTATTAGGTACACCTGTCCAACTGCTCGTTAACACTTAATTTCTAATCAGCCAATCACGTGGCGGCAACTTAGTGCATTTAGGCATGTAGACATGGTCAAGACAATCTCCTGCAGTTCAAACCGAGCATCAGTATGGGGAAGAAAGGTGATTTGAGTGACTTTGAACGTGGCATGGTTGTTGGTGCCAGAAGGGCTGGTCTGAGTATTTCAGGAACTGCTGATCTACTGGGATTTTCACACACAACCATCTCTAGGGTTTACAGAGAATGGTCCGAAAAAGAAAAAATATCCAGTGAGCGGCAGTTCTGTGGGCGGAAATGCCTTGTTGATGCCAGAGGTCAGAGGAGAATGGCCAGACTGGTTCGAGCTGATAGAAAGGCAACAGTGACTCAAATAACCACCCGTTACAACCAAGGTAGGCAGAAGAGCATCTCTGAACGCACAGTACATCGAACTTTGAGGCAGATGGGCTACAGCAGCAGAAGACCACACCGGGTGCCACTCCTTTCAGCTAAGAACAGGAAACTGAGGCTACAATTTGCACAAGCTCATCGAAATTGGACAATAGAAGATTGGAAAACGTTGCCTCGTCTGATGAGTCTCGATTTCTGCTGCGACATTCGGATGGTAGGGTCAGAATTTGGTGTCAACAACATGAAAGCATGGATCCATCCTGCCTTGTATCAACGGTTCAGGCTGGTGGTGTTGGTGTCATGGTGTGGGGAATATTTTCTTGGCACTCTTTGGGCCCCTTGGTACCAATTGAGCATCGTTGCAACGCCACAGCCTACCTGAGTATTGTTGTTGACCATGTCCATCCCTTTATGACCCCAATGTACCCAACTTCTGATGGCTACTTTCAGCAGGATAATGCGCCATGTCATAAAGCTGGAATCATCTCAGACTGGTTTCTTGAACATGACAATGAGTTCACTGTACTCAAATGGCCTCCACAGTCACCAGACCTCAATCCAATAGAGCATCTTTGGGATGTGGTGGAACGGGAGATTCGCATCATGGATGTGCAGCCGACAAATCTGCGGCAACTGTGTGATGCCATCATGTCAATATGGACCAAGCTCTCTGAGGAATGCTTCCAGCACCTTGTTGAATCTATGCCACGAAGAATTGAGGCAGTTCTGAAGGCAAAAAGGGGTCCAACCCGTTACTAGCATGGTGTACCTAATAAAGTGGCCGGTGAGTGTATAATCCTGAACAATGAGACGAAGGTTGTACAAGATGTTTACTAAGTCGCACAAGTCAAGGAGGTACTTACAGACCTCTATGTTTCTGACTGAATTCTGACTCATGACCCACGTCACTACATTAGTCACTCTTACAAAGACTAAAGCTGCGTTCAGGTTGTATTCAGAAGCCAGAATTTCCGAGCTCAAAGTCGGAAATTCATCTAGAACGCCCCCCTGAAGTCGGACATCAGACTCGGCAAGCAGGACGCTCCTCGCCAACCCGGACTTGATGTGCATCAACAGTAAAGAGTAACAGTAAAAGCTCTTATAATGTGTTATTTTTATCACTTCTGTTTTGTTTTTGTGAAATTAAATAAGTGGTTTATGTCGTACTGCCCGATGTCTAACTATGAACACGGTGCTATGGTGTTTGTAAGAGTAAAATACTGTGTTGTGTGTTGTTTTCCGACTTGTTAACTGGAGCACTGTCAACTCGGGTGTAACATAATTCATCGACATAATTTCGATTTTTTTGTAATCTTAAAATTCAATTTTAATCTCGAAAATTCGACTTTAGACTTTAACCTTGAAATTTCAGTTTTTATTCACGAAATTCCAACTTTATTGACACAATTTTCAATTTTGTTTATTCCTGAAATTTTGACTTTAGACTTTAATCTCCTTCCTCTTCTCCTTTTTTCCCCCTTCCTGTGGCCCTAATCCTCTCGTAGACTTGGACGTAGTTGCAACTAACTGATTTAAAGTTGTGATACTACAGACACAGATCAGGCCACACACTCGATCTGCTCTTCCCACCAGGCTCTCGTTTGCCGCTCATGTAAATTTTCTGAATCCCTGCAGCTGCAAGCAGGACAAATCATTTTAATATAGTGAGAGCAGGCAGGAGTATGATCAAGAATTCGCTCCCCCCATGTTCAGACATGGGAATATTTGGTGATATCAAGACTGAAAGGCTCTCTTGCTCACCCCTCCACAGGCATGGTCCTCCATTTGTCAAATTTCACCATCGAAAACATCTATTCTTTTCTTCTTCTTTTTTGTCTTGCAACTGCTGCAAACTGTGCAGCCATTTACCAAATTCAAACCATATCTGCATCTGTTCCTTTCCTACTAAGTCTGACCTGCTAAATTCTGCACACTGAAGCAAAAAAAGCAGAAATTGTAAATATAGAAGTTGTGAAAAAAGAAAAGTTCTGCTCTGAGTTTCTAAATGACAGGATGAGACTTGATTCAACTTGGAGACAATGACGTAAAACCAGAGAAAGTTTATCAACAGTACCAGAGGAAGAGCTTTGAAAGCAGTTTGTGCAGAAGTCCAGGAAACAGACGAAATCTGAGAATATTGAATATGATGGTTAAACGTGATAATGCTGACAGAGCCAATTTTGTCCATAACACCAATTATCACAGCTGGTTTGAGGGATTAACAACAAAACAAGTCTTAACTGGAGTTTTCCGTCTCATCAGCAGCGCCGCTACGTGATAATGAGCAAACACTGTAATCCCACATTTAAGTGACAGCCGCACCTACCCCCACATTTCCACAGATGTCGGTGTGAGTTTGATAATTGGGAGTTTGATGGCTTTTAACACCAAATTTTCTGCGAGCTTCAGAGACGTGTGGAAATGTCAGCGAGCTGTTTCTAACAATGCATCTGGGTCTTTCACCTCCGAGAGACACTCGTGGAGGTGTCTGACATCGTCGGCTCGTTCCTGAGGAATCGAGTTCGTGAGAGTTTGATCACACAACCAGACACACTTTGTTTTGTTTCTTACTGAGCATGCGACAGAGCTCTAAACTTCTAATGACTCTGAACTGCTTTGTGTTGATGTCAAACGCCAAAGAGCGTTTATCACTTTATCATGGATATAACAGCTAATGGTAATTAAATATTCTGCCGCTGTCCGATCTGGACTTTTTTCAATTCATGCACGGTCCATAATCTTCCCTAATAACCTGTAGCTTTGACCGATCTTTTCAACAAGTATCTCAATTGGGTGTCTGAAGTGTCAGCAAAGCACGTATCTCCCGCCCTGACCCTGAGTTGTCATGTCAACAAACAAACGTTACCCTGTGACCGACTCATTACAGTCTTGGATAATGCTACACTAATGTCCTAACATCGACTGATGCCGATCTTAAACTTTTTTTAAGCATAACAGTGCTGCTTACCTGTATGTTTGATTTCTTGAGCCAAAGTTCATCCCCAGAGGGAAAGCTGCTGCTGTTTTCTCTCTCCAGGAAAGAAGATTAGGGCCACATGAAAAAAAGAAAAAAATGGCAGGAAGGTGATTAAAGTCTAAATTTCAAGATTAAAGTAGAGATTTTGAGATTAAAAATCAAAACTATGTCGGTGAAGTCAAAATTTTGACATGAAAAATTGAAATTTTAAGATTAAAGTAGAAATTTTTAGATTAAAAAAAATACATTTTGAGAATAATATAATTTTGAGATTACAAAATGTTGAATTGTTGTGAATAATGTGGAAATTTTGAGATTAAAAAAGTTTTAAATTTTGAGATTAAAGTTGAAATTTTGAGATTAAAGTCAAGAATGAAGTCAAAATTTCAACTTTTCTAAATTTCGACTTTAATCTCGAAATGGAAATTAGAAACATCTCATTCCTGGCCTTTTTGTGGCCCTATTCCACTTTCTCAGCAGTCCATTTAAAATATCAAACAGGTCACTTATAAAATCTGTGTAAGAATAGATCTCGATTTAAGGTCCTAATTGTGTCTAATTACAGTTTTTTCTGTAAAGCAGAGGTGCCCAACCACCGGGCCCTGGACCGGTACCAGTCCGCGGATCAATTATTACCGGGCCGCAAAAAAAAAACAAAAAAAACACAATGACTAAATTTTTTTTTTCTTTCCATCCGTTATCCCAGTATCTTATTTTGAAAGACCACCACTTCCGCCATCACCTCACTTTCGCACTTGACTCTTCGGCACGTCATTTTGCTGCAGCAGCATCTCATACATACTATGTACTGATCAAGGTTTTTGTTATTAGAACCTCCATGCCCCTATTGCATGAAACTGGTCCCTGGTACAATGAAGGTTGGGGACCACTGCTGTTAAGTCAAGTAGTTTATGAATGAATAAAATTGTTTTTTTATATTGTAATTGTGTTTTGTATTGGACTGTGACGATTAGCATTAGCTTCTATAAAGAGATAAAAGACGGCGTTGGGTTTAGAGAGTGTTGTGTTGTGGTGACTGTGATGAAGCTCGATAACCCTCAACAGTTGGTAGAACTGTCTCTCAGATGGTTTGTGTCTTTGTTGTTTTTGTAATAAGGCAGATTCACACACAGTATCAGTGACCCCTCTCCTGGTTTATAGACCGCCTCAGACTGTTTTCCTCTTAAAAGCGTAGCTCTGAGAGTTACACACTCTCCCACCTGGCAGCAGCAGCAGCAGCATTAGAATATTCTGTCCTCTCATTATTGATTCAGCGTCTTTGTTCGTTTGTCCTCTCCTCAGCCATTATTACTTTTATAGCTGTTTTTACGAGCCTCTCCGGGCTGCCCACCAATTAAGCTTTGTATCCCATTAAAAAGTCCTCAGCAGTCACAAACACAAGTGCTGCGCTGCACAGGATGCAGCACCGCTCTGTCTATTGTGTCACTGTTACCTATAAAATATTTACATCAGCTCCTGTGAGGTCCACTTCAAAAAACCTGACACAAACAGACCCAGACGCCTTACCGGGCTCTTTGACCCGGCAGGCAGAGGTCCCGCCTGTCTGCAGCTCTGTCGCAGGCACCCAGCTGCTCACACTCGAACACTCCAGCTGAATTATTCAGGGTTAGGCGAAGAACAGTGTGTTTACTGTCGGAGCGGATATGAGGAGATGAGGACGATCGATTTTTATGACACTTAGAGACTGATCTATAATCACCGTCATGTGATGCCTCGTTTTTAAAGCCTAATGTTTCTGTCAAATATGAACTGAAACCAGTTATTGTTCAGTGTGCATCAGGAGATAATTGAAGTCTGTGTCACGCAGGTTCAATAAAAGACTCCATATGTGCTTTTTAAGAGCTTTGAGAGGAAATCATCCTCACAATGTGTTGTCTAAACAGTCGGCTATAAAGGCTCATGATGACGTCGATGTAAATGGTAGACAGCACAGATAACACCTTTCTAATCCAGTCAAAGTGCCTCACATAACAGTCCGCTCAGTCTTCAGTGTAATTTGTTCAAAAATTATCTGAGAAAAACTGCCGACTGAAGGAGGCGATTTTACCGGTGGATAACTCACCGCAGAAACCTGCAGGAAATCGAGAGAAAATGATGTAAAAGACAAACAACTTAACCTGGACTTATATAAAACAACTTTACCTGGATTTATATAAAACAACTTTACCTAGACCTAAGATTCAGCACAGACATTTTCCTGATAATTCAGAGTTTAAAGATTTGTTTAAAAATAAATCAGTTAACTTTTGAAAGAGTTTTAAACCTTGACTCGACCTCGATAGTTGATTTGTCTCTGTATCTCTGATTTCATTGGCTTCAAATTGTCTGTAGTAGTTCTGAAAAAGTTAAGACCAGTTTTTTTTAGACTTTTTGTTTTTGTTTTGAAATTTCAAGAACTGCTCCATCAGCTGACTCCACGTTTGCACAAGAAAAGGACAAATTACAGAGAGACGATGGATCCAGAACAATGACTTGCCACATGTAGATTTTTATAGCTATATAGCAGTTCACCTGCTATGTTCGCAAAATTTGCTTCTGGGGCAGAACACTTAGTCGCTTTTTTTCTCTGCGGAGCTGGTGTGGAAGGTTGCATTGACTTTAAGAGGTTTTTGAAAATAGCAAATTATTCACTTAGCTACTTCACCAGTGTATAACGACCTTTAAAGTTTAAGATTTGCTCATATGACTTAGAAACTGATGCCAAACTTCCTAAACTTTAAGATTCAAGCCTCTTTTGCCTTTGTCCAACTTTCACTAGAATATTAGCTCTCAATTAGACTGAATGACTTAGAAATCGATGTGGATCGAGATCAAATTAAGTGAGGTGTGATATTTCTCGGTTTGAACTAAGATATCTGAGGTGACTTCAAACTTTACTTGGATTTACTCAAAAGGGTTTTTAAATTTCTGCTGTTTTTCCTCAAAACTTGAAAACTAAAAGACGCGTCACACAGTTCAATAACCGCAGAGACTTTGAGGTCTCGCCGCAGCTCCACACACCTGCGAGGTTTTATGAGCATGGGCGGCATATTTAGCCGTTTTTCCATTTAATAAAGGAGCACATTTGAGGAGATGATGATGACAAAGCCTCCTCCAGGGACCCGGCACAGAGGATCTGTATTAGGCCCTGTGAGGACCGGCTCCCACAGTCTGCAGCTGGATCGACTAAATGAGAGATCACAACCCCCGCGCTTTCATTTGACGGATAAAATCAACATGAGATATGCAAATGCTCCAGACGACCACCACCATCAGCCTGCTCTGGATCTGAAGCAGCGAGGACTCATGTCGTATTTTTGTTGTTGTTGTTCTTCTAGATTTGCCAGGAAACCTCCTTTTTCACACGCTGCCAGATTTGAGCTTCGCCTTAATTCACTTAATCAAAACTCGCCTTCAGTTCTGCGCTGATAGTCTGGAGAACGAGGATTAGAAAAGTTGCATCTAGGCTTTGTGAAAACATGAATTTGCCAATTTCTGATAAAGGCAATTATTGTGAAAAGTATTTCTTTCTGTCTCTGCACCTTTGTCTCCAAAACAATGCAAAGTCATATTCTCCAAATATTGCTTCCTGCCAAAATGATTTCAGACAATGGCCTAATCCTCCTCATACCTTTGCACTAGAAAAAAAGCAAAAATATATCCATTATATTTCTGTGGCGGGCGGGCGATGGCGGTGCTAATCCCCTCTGTTGTACATCTGAGTCGGTCGCTTCAGTCCTGGCGCCGAGCCCGGGAAGTCAGTGGCTCATCTCCATCCTTCTTGGAGAAACCCTGAACAGTCATTCAGTCGAGCTGCTCATGCACTCGCCGCTCTCTCTGCTCTTTCTTTGAAACATTCTCACATACGTATGAAAATATAGATCCACACAAAAATCCCGCAGCTCTCAATTAAACGCGGCTCTATTGTCAGTCATCCTGGCACGTCTTCTGTCCCTGCTGTCACCCAGGCTGATGTCCCGGGTAGACCCTTACCTCATCTCCCTCTTCTCCTCTCCCTCTGTCACTCGTCCACCCCCACTTCATCCGTCTCCTCTGTCTCCTTGTGTTCGCGAAGTTCGCCCGGCTTCTGAGTGCTTCATGCCGCATGATGTGTCTGCACGTATTTGTGTGTTTGTGCAGAGAGTGAAAGGAGAAAGCCAAAAAGCTTCTCTCTGTGAACAGTTTCTGTCAGCAGCGGGGAGATGAGACGGGCTGAGACAGAAAGGACGGACCCAGAGAGTAGAAAGCTCTTTGGAGGGGACAAAAGAGGATGGAGGCGAAGGAGCAGCAGAGGAGGTCCCTTTAGATCCCCAACCTGAGGTTTCTTCTCACTCCTCCTGATGCCAACTGTATCTTGTTGTCATAGGAACACAGAGAGCTGACAATGCCGTCTAATTCTCCAATCTCTCTCAGTACAACAAAACTGTCAGGCGGACAAGAGAGAGAGGGAGGGTGTGAAGCAGAGAGCAGCCCGGCCCGGCGAGGCGAGGCTCAGCGGGGCGCCGCACACTTCAATGCACAGAGCAGCTCAGGAGAACATGGCGGTGCCAAGCAGGACAGCACAGCACACTACAGGGAGGTGTGCAGCCAAACTGTCACAGCTCGGAGAAGCACAGGCCTATAGGTGGAGGTTCAGTGGGGAAAAACTCAGCTTTACGACGCTTGCAGCAAAAGTTGGAGGTGGTTGTTTTCTTGTTTTAAGATGTACACCCTCCGGACGGGACATAAAGAAATGGTTTCTTCAGTTTGCTGTGATAAAACTTTGCCGCTGTACTCTGACCTTAACCCGCCTGGACTCTGAGCGAGGAAACAAACTGCTGACTTCAAACTCTGGGGGTTACTGTCCACAAATTTCTGCAGCCGGGGTTGAAACTCTGGGAAACAACAGACACAGATGAGGAGATGGTGAATGTTTGAAGGCAAAGTGACACCATCTTGTGTGGGCAGTTTAGGCGCTGATTGGCAGACGCTAACCCTCAATTTTCACTGCATCCGGAACGGCCATCCGATAATTCCGACTGGAGCCTATTGTGAGGTGAATTTTGAGCAGATTATGGAGAGCAAGAATCGCAAGACCTAATGAGAACTGGTGGATTCATGTGCAATTGCGTGATAACAAGTTGTCTATAGCCACATAGACATATAAGCAGTAGATTGTGTCCTTCCAGAGGAGGAAATCTACTTCTAGACTTCTAGAATCAGCATCTCCTCATCCATGGTGTCATCGGGGTGAAATGACGTCAATAAACCTTTCACTTGTTCGTCAGAGTCTTTTATTTTGGAAAGAAAAGGATGCTTTATTTCTTGTCTGTGCCTGACTTCCTTTCCAGCACGGGTTAAACTGTGCTGAAATTATCCAGCATGCTGTGGCATCTGGAAAAAATAGAACTCCCACAATCAGCTGCAGAGTCCGGCGATCCACAGCGGAACGGAAAGAAGTCAGTGGAAATTGACATATTAACTTGAACGGTTACGATCAGCTACGACTGGCGGATACGGCCTTTTTGTCGCCGTTCTTGATGCGGCGAAAATTGGACCTTCTGACATAAACACTGAAGGTCACTGGCTGGACGTTTTCTGGATTAACAACGGTGCAAAAAGGTAAACATGAGCGAGTGCAGACACTACAGCTGATTTAAGTCCCTACTGCTGGAAGTCAGTACAAGGATGGCGCTCCTCCGTGAAGTAGAAAGCACGGTGTGAGTAAAGTCCACAGCGTGATGTGAAAAATGTTGGAGTGCGTACTTCATCAGGAGCAGAAGACGGCGCAGAGATGAAAACCAAGCGTTGATGTTTTTTGTTGATAATCTGTCTTACAACCGTCGGATGAAGAAGTGTGTAACAGACGGAATATTTCCATCACTTCATCCAGACGACGTTCGCTTCAATCTCTGATAAAAGTGTGTTGGTGCCCGCAGAGATGGAAAGGCACGGGCTAATCCGGCTAAGTTATGCACTTCAGGTCTCTTTTTTCAGAGCCAGGCAGTCACCCAGTCATCCAACGAGCCAGTTGGCCAACCAGCCAGCCAGCCAGCCAGCCGGCCCAGAGTGCCCCTGGTGCCACTTAAGAATCATGGGAAAAGAATGTTCTCAGCTCTTTTCTGTCCTGATTATATCAGATGTGGAGGAAATGGAGGGACTCTGGGTGGATGCCAGGCCCGCTGAGCCCTGGGGAGAGGAGGAGGAGGAGGAGGAGGAGGAGGAGGCAGTGGGCAGGAATGGGAACGGGGTGACATGGTGGGCTGAGGACCTTTGGGGACCATGAGGTTGGAAGGAGAGCGCGATTCATCACGAGCATTGAGACTCCGGGTCTCGGGGCCTTGGGAAGGCCGCGGCGGATGTAAAGAGGATCGTCGGTTTTCCCCTTCAGAGGCGCAGATGGCGAATGACATGACCGATTTTTTTTTCCCTCTCCTTTAAGACTCGGGGACATGTTGCCCATATCAAGTCAGCTTTACCCACAACAACAACAACAACATCCTGCATGCTGGCGAAGAGGAGCGCTGAAGAGGGTGAAGTTGGCGCAGAGAGCTAATGGAAGACGTGACTAATCATAAGATTTCTGATAAGAGTAAAGTCAGCAGTAACCCTGCCAACAACCTTGAGTGTGTTTTTTCTTTTTTATAATGATACTGTCTCTGCGAAGGCCAAAAATCAGTGAAAGCCTGCAGTCATACAGCTTTGATAATTAGCCACCAGTAATGTTAGACAGTGTGGTCGAGCTGAGAGCTGGTGGCATTAGACACGCTGTATTGAGTTAAGTCACATCAATACTGCTGAGATACATTATGCTGCTTCTCTTCTGTCTGACTGTGGAGCGGTTTCTTAATGAAGTTGCTCAAATTGGCTCTTTGTGAAATCTTTGTTCTGAGGAGGTCAACATGCATCAAAAAAGAAGAGACTGATCCTCGATTATCTTTTAAATCCTCAACCAAACAACGAAGTCCTCACTTAGAACTCCACCACGTCTGTTTCTTTCACCCATCAGCATTTTCATCACTATTTAGGAGTCGAATCTTTAAAATAACTTATAAATATGGAGCGGAGTTGAATGTAACTGTCTCCACACACTAAGCGCGAGTAAAATCATTCGCGCGAATGAAATACATGTTAAGTCAATGCAAAGACGCGATTAGACGCTCCTACTACTCTGGTGGCGCGAATGACGCGAATTGGGCGGGAGCTAAAAATGTCTTAACTTGAGCTGATTTTGGCGACACGATAAGGTTGCTGGGTGACGTATGAAAACAGACGGTTGTTTAGTGGTATCTAAATTTTTTTTCAATCATCGAAGCTAGAATAAAAAAGAGCTTGCCTGGAAGAAAAATAAGTGAGGAGGTCTGATTATCTGGTAAATTATAAAAAACCTTTGTCTATCACTTGATCCCGCCGGTTGAATTGGCAGGGATTACCGCTGAAGTTATCGCTGACGCGTGATTGAAGGGAGTAAATACTATTCATTCTAGATTCGCGCGAATTAAGCGAGTAGATGGTTTTACTCATGCATGGTGTGAGCGCCCCATGAGCAGTGTTGCCAACTCATCAGTAAGGAAAGTCGCTAGTGGCTATCGTAAAAGTCACTAGAAGTCGCTAGATGACGTCATCGCCTAATTTCTCAGTCAAACCCACTGTCGTCGCTGACACTCCCACCCTCGGGGGGAGGAGGAGGAGTCTTCCGCGGGGCGTTTAAGGGTCTGTGTTTTTGATGCACACCAGCTACCCATTGAGAAGAGTAATGTTGGAGTCTCTTAACTCCAGAAAAAGTCGCTAGATTTGTCGCTAGGCGCTTTTTTAAAAACAAGTCGCTAGGGGGGCTGAAAAGTTGCTAAATCTAGCGCCAAAGTCACTAGGTTGGCAACACTGCCCATGAGTGTGAACAAACAAAAAGAGGAGCTTGATCTTCGTACGATGTGAAGATATAAGAAGTTGCAGCTGCTTTTGTTTAACAGTTTTCAACCAAAGTGAGATTTTTGTTGATGCATCTAATGATCCAAACACTAAAAATGAGCATTTTCTAAATCTCCTTGCCTTGAAGATCGCCCTCTTAACCTTTGCAAACATTCGTTTTGCAGTTTTCCTCTTAAAGGTGAACATGTAAAGATTTGGCGGCATAATAGGTGAAAGGATTTCCTCCCAGCATGCATTTGGGTGAGTGGAGTAGCACCTTGCTTAAGTAAACAGCCCACTCTTAAAGCTGTGAAACTTCTTACGGGTCTTTAGGATCCCTCTCTATGAGTGTTTGAGTCTGTGTGGGTGAGAGAGTCGGAGTAATGTGAACCACACAAATACCAGGGGGTTCTGCATGCTGATCAGGTTTCTGTGATATCCATCTATGTGCACTGGGAGAACCTAATCCTGTATCTGATATGCCTGCAGTAATGGCTTGTACCTATGGTTTACAGATAAAGGCCATTATGAGAAACTCACTTAGCCACTTAGCTAATCACTTACTGTTGTCCATACAGATGGTAAAAACAGCTGAAGAAGAAGAAGAAGTGCTAAAACAGGTTGATAAATAACGCCGTCGCTGTTTCCTTCGCCTCTGTTTTATGGTGTTATGAGTAACACTTCCCTCAGCTGATCTCTGTTATAGTTTTATGACCATAATCTCATCTGATTGGGGTCAGAGAGAAGCGGGAACACGTGACAGGATTGAAGAAATGAGTTTAGAAAAAGGAGAGGTGACTCGCTGGCACAGAAAGTCCTTGTGTGGTCCCATATAGTCTGTATAGATTAGGATACTTGGCAGCAGTCGGAGAGCACTTTCAGATATCAAACCGGATTAATCTGCTCGATTTAATTCACTGTTACTAACTTTCTAATTTAACCAAAGTTACACGAAAAGATAAGAGGCCGATTGGAGGTTTTAAAGGTACAGTAGCATTAAACAAAACAGATTAGCTAGAAACATGATAAATAATTCATGATTATGTTCGAGTTAGAGGATAATCAACTGAACAAATCTACTACGACTCCTCAGAGGCTGCTGCCGTTACATAAAAAAAAGACAAATAAGCAACAAGCATGTTTTGGCGTTAGTGGGTAAATAAACAGCTGTTGGTCTGCATGAAATAATCTGGATTTAAAGAAATTTCTCATGGTAAAAACTAAACAAACAGAGAATCCTTGAAAACCACCAAAAGGGTGAGAAAGGGAGCATTTCAGTCCAGAACCTGCTGCTATCACTAAATACTCACACTGTCTAATAGATGGTGGAAGAAGAAGACCTTTATTGATCCCTGAAAGAATCCTGAGATAACATTTGATCTATTGGGGATCAGTCCTGAAAGAGGTTTTTTTCCTATCATCTCAAAGGAGACGGACAACGACACATGAGGACCGAGAGGCACTTGGCTTAGGGACCAGAAGGTTTCCAGTGCAGGTGCCAAGCATATAAATTTTGACCTGTTGCTGCAGAGATGCCCTTGAGCAAGGCAGTGAATCTCATGTACAGCTCTGAAGTCTCTCTAATAGTGCATGTCCAACTCTCTGAGATATAGTGCAGTCTACTTAAGCGGTACTTGACTGTGAGCTCTGGATCTCGCAGAGTGATGTTCTGCAGGACTGTGAGGGGAGTCGTGAAGCATTACTGAATCCTGTGCAGGTCTACAGTTCTGATCCATCCATAGCTGAATTATTTGACAACCATTGCATCCATCATTTGACCAAGGACTTTTCTTTAATAGTTTAACGTTTGAAAGATTAAAACTCTAAGATCAATCATACTGAAAGACGCTCACGAGTAAATGAGAGTCAAGTTTAACCAGGATAGTAGCTACATTTCTTTTTCTACAATCTACATTTCTGAACATGCAGGTGGTATTTACTCGGTTTTATCATCTCAGAGCCACTTCAGAGTGAGACTTCATGTTAAAAAGCATACTTTATGCAATGGAGGTTAAACTGAAGAGTTTTTGCTTCCTGATGCG